CCTAAAATGGTAAAGAACATAATCTGGAAGGTAAAATAGAATTTAAAAAAATTACCTAGTGATCTGAAATTTAATCACATCTAGTCGTTACACATGACAAGAGTAGTTGTGATCATCTTAGCAAACAGGCAAAAAAATGGTATGCTCTTTTAGTACCAAATCTCAAGTCAGAACCCTTTAAAGGTTAAGAAATGGATACAGCTGAAAACAACAAAATAAGGTCTCAACCCCAGACATAAGTTTTCCTAAATTCCTAACAATTTATTAACTCTCCAACAATTCATTAATCTTTGCCATGAAATTTCACTGATGAGGCACTGTTCTACTATCTCTAGCTAAAATGTTCTTACAACATTCCAGCAGGTCAGGACAATGAAACACCATCATATATGGATAAAGATATTCTGATATCCAGGAATTTTACTCCATGGCTTGGAGGCCAACCACACATGCTAGGGGAAAAGGGAGCTCAGATAGAGAAGGGAACACCAAATAAAGGTTGTTGGGAGGATCCTCCCAGGATGGGAGAAGTATGCTGAAAGTAGACTATAGACCAAACATGATTGTCACCCATTGCCTCTTTTGCAAACCACAACACCCAATAAGAGAGAGAGAACAAAAGGGAATGCCCTGCCACAGAGGCAGGGTGGGATGGGGGAATGGGGGGTGGGAGGGATACTGGGATCCGTGGTGGTGGGAAATGGGCACTGGTGGAGGGATGGGTATTTGATCATTGTATAATTGAAACCCAAGCACAAAAATTTGTAAGTCTACAACTGTACCTCATGATGTCTCACTAATAAAAATTTTAAAAAATAATAATAAAATAAATGATACTAAAAACAAACAAAAAGAGATATTCTGATATCCAAATACCCACTGCTCATACTTCATTGACACACTATGCTGATGTACACAATTGTCTAGGTGTGTAGCCCGTACTTGCCTTGCACATATGAGTTTGACTCCCAGCACCCTCCTCTCCCCAAAAAAATCTAGTAAGAACATTATGACCAGGAAAAGTGGTGGTGCCCTGTAATAATTTTTAAATGTCCATATAGGAAATATAGACGGGGTTTTCTGTGCTTTAAACACACACACACACACACAAATTCTCACTTGACATGGAAATCACAATGATGCAAAAAAGTCAGCTAAAAACTCACATGTGGGGAATGGAGAGATGATATAGGGCTTAAGGAGCTTGCAGTGCTAGCCACAAAGCCCAGTTTGATCTCGGGCACTGCATATCATCCTCTAAGCAACACCAAAAGTGAACATAGAGCACAGACCCAAAAGTAAGTCTTGAACATAGTGGTTTTGACCCCCAAAACTCAAATAAGAAAATCTCTCATATACCTATGAAGCAGATTCTTGAATCCTATAGCAGGATACGATATATAATATACCCTGAGAAAATTCCTCTGTTAATTTTTTATTAACTACTTTTTAAGTTATCTAAAAAAAATTATGATCACTAAATACAGAAGTCTGAGGTAACCATTCTTAAAAGATAAATGATTAATTTCATAAGCTATCCTCACAACTGATGTTATTTTAGAGGCATCAAACAAAACACCAATCCCTTTGTTTGGAGTTTATGACTACTCCAACCAATTCCAATCCTCTTCAATCCATTTCCCACTTACTCAGTGATGTAAAATACAAATTTGGTTATGCTGACTATTTTTGTTTAAAATACTTCAATGGGTACTTCATTATCTAAAGGATAAGAGGATTCATACTCCTTAGCCAGATATAAAAGGCTGTTTATGATAGGTCCTTTTTTCTAGCTCCGTGCTCTTTTTTTGGAGGGGGGTGGGAGGGAGAAGGGAGAGTGGGGGGGACATACCCCAGGATGCTCAGGGATTATTCCTGGCTTTGCACTCACAAATTACTCCTGGTAGAGCTTGAAAGACCAGATGGGATGCCAAGAATTGAACTCGGGTCAGCCATATGCAAGGCAAACACCCTACCTGCTTGCTGTACTCTCTGTCTCTGGCCCTGCCAGCTCCATCTCTTGCCACTAGACCTCTAATCTTTCCTCCTTAATTACTAGCATAATTTCTCCTCCTTCTCAAACCTAACTTGATTATTCTTAGCTGAACTGATGTGGTTTCAGCTTCCCAAACTTTTGCTTTGGGATGTTGAATATACAATCTTTTTGATTGAAAATACCATCCTCCTCACCATCAATACTCTGATAAACTGCAGGTCATTCTTTGAATTCAGCTTTGAAGAATCTGTTGAATTTGAATTCCACCTCTAGAATGGACTAGGTATTCATTCAACTTAGTAAATATGTACTAAATAACCTATAAATTAGAACTTTAGATCTATGACAATGGAGGAGGAATTTAACTCTATACCAAGGATCATAGGAGGCAATTTATTTGCTAAGCGTATGTGTGTATCTGCATTAAATAACAATCCTGAATTTTCCTCACCTATTTCTCTTCCCATCATCCTTATGGTTATTTTTGAAGATTTCGTTGTATATTAAATTCTAGGGTTTTTTATTTTCACTGTACTGAAAACACAACATGTCCATTATTTTCTTGACAATTTGTATGCTCCCATGCTCAGTATAGTGCCCATAATGTAGAAAATAAATACTGGTTAAATGAATATTGGCCATTTTTGTAAGGGCCTAATATTTTTATAACATTAGTGACAAATGCAATAACTAATCTTTAATACCCCCAAGTGTTTACTGCATGCAAAGGAATCTACTAGCTATAACTTTGGCTAAGTTGCTTAACATGACTGAAACCATTTTCTCATATGATAAATGAAGGTTAACACTGACCTTGAGGCTGCTGTTGAAAGGATTAAATAAGATTATATAAGTAAAAGGTACAGGTACTCGATACATGTTAATTTCCTTCCTTCAAATACAACAGTTTCTTGCATATTCTCCATCTGTCCTCATTTTTGTTTAATCACTATTTCTCAAGTCTGGAGAAGAGTAGGACAAACTTCCATAAACATCCACAACAAAAGGAAGAAATAATTAACTGAAGGTTCCTAAATCACATACATGCAAAAAGACTTAAAAAGGAAACTACCAATACACCAACTGGATGTTTTAGGGAGGATATTACGTCCCCCTCATTCTTTCAAGGCATGCCATTCTCTGTCAAGGAATGTCTAAGTTTCCTTTTGATTTTACCTGGATCACCCTCAGCAAGGTCTGTACCAGCAAAGTGTTCTGAGGAATTCCAAGCTTCACCACAGCATGGAAACTGAACATGAGGTGGTCATAACGCATGATCTTGGCTTCTCTCATCATATGTTCACACAGCTGGTTAAATGCAGGGTGGTTAAACATCAGTTGCTTTTCAAAGCGCTTCTGGTCTTCAGACATCCTTTTGGCAATTGTCCACATGGCTGAGAAGTAGTTACTACTAGGAAATGTAGGTGCTTCTGAAAATGTATCTAACACATCACACAGGGAATTACTCTCCCTAGACAGCTTTTGAGAGTTTATATGGGTTGGTTTTGTTTCCTTGGTGAGAATGTCTTCATTGTAGGGTTCGTGATTAACCTTTTCTTCCTTCAACCCATCATTGGAAGCATGTGAGTATTTTGAGTCCACAGAAAGTCCTCTAGGACAAAGTGGTTTGTTAACTCCGGGTACTATTCCAGAGTTGATGCCTTTAGTTTGAAAGCCATCATCTCCTGGTTTAAATACGAAAGCATCTTGAAATAGGTATCTAACAGGTGACTGCATTCTCATATCAAAGTTACTGAGATTTCTTGGGTTCCAGTGTGAATAAACTACTGCTGGTCGGCCAAATCTCAAAGAATACAGTCTCACAGTTCTGCTTGTTGGAACCAAGTTACCGAACTGTTTCAGGCTCCACAAAAAGGAACCTGCTCTTTTATTCATTTTGCTAGCCATTGATACAATGGCTTTAATGTTGTCAAGATGAGGCAACAGTTGCTTCTAGTAGATAGAGAGGACGCATAGTCTAGTAGTTTTTCTGTAGGGGAAAGGACTGTGAAAAGAACAAAACATAGAGCAAAACTTACACTTCATGGAAGAGCACGCGTTCAACAGAAACTGAAAGGTAACCAACGGTGACATCAACAATTTACATGAAAAGGCTTCAACTATTTGACTCAGATGAGCTTCCTTCACTTCTATCACAATAGGCACGATCTTTCAAAGTAGGAAATATTCTCTCATCGAATTGCTCTTTAAGTACTTTGGAAAAAGAGATTTTTACCAAAAATGAGGTGGATTCCCCTATGGGAATGCGTTTGCCAAACCTCTGCGGAATGGATTTTGAAAAACACTTTTGCCTGAGAGAAGAAGTTCTCAATGAGAACTAAGGGTTCGACTGCAGAAGAATACACTCAACTTACAGGTGGTTATGGCAAGGGCCGAAATAGCTAATAAGAAGGGGGCCTGGAACAAACGTAGAAGCTCAGCAATGGAAACAAGCAAGAGAAGTGAAGCTTGCACGTGGCGGGGAGAGAAGTGGTCATCCGGCACCAGAGCCCACAATCCTCATCAGGTGCCTGTTCCCCAGTACGAATCTGCCCCCCTAGGCTTAATGTCTGAGCGAGTCCTAAAACGTCTCCCGGCACAAGGCTAAAGGAGTCTCGGGAGCTGAGCCGCTACAACTCGGCCCCTAACCCGTCTCGCACTCACCTGAGGTCAGAACCCCCCCCCTCCCGGTTACATGCCACTTCCGCCACCACCGCGTCCCCGCGAGTCGCGCCTATCGCGAGAACCTACGGGTCGCATTCTAGGTCAAAAAAGCCGACGTTCTCGAAGGTCGGGCAAGGGTTTCTTTAGAAACAAGGACGCTAGCGAGAAGAATGTCTCGTTCCGTTGCTTGCCGCGACGGAAACGAGAGTGACTGCGGTTTCTAAGTGCGATGTATGACCGTGTGCCCCTCCACTTCACCGCCCCCGCGGAGCCCATGCTGGCTCGCGCCTTCTCGGAGTGCGCCTGCGCCAGCCCCTGATGCTGGGTTGCCTGGAAACCCCCGAGACGCGGTTCTGTAGCCTCTAGGGGGCGGCTGCTCGATGGCGAAATTCGTGCTGGCGGGTGAGTGATCAGATCACTCAAAACACTGACAAGTTGTTACTACCTCCTACTTCCTCTTCCAGTTGCAGTTCCCAGCCTCGGTGGGGACCGCCCCAGGCTCTCTTATGGATTCCGTTATAGATGTTTATTGGACTCTGGGATTCTGCAAAGCAGTACTAGACCCTGGAGAAACAGTGTAGGGTGGAGGGGGCGTGGAATGGTGAGGATAGAGAAATGCCCCTGACTTCGAGGAACGTCCAGTCGTATGAAGTAAAAGGACCATGTAAACAAGTAATTCTGATACGGATTCACAACTTCAGTGAGAGATATACATGGGGGCTCTGGGAGAAGTTAGAGCAGCCCATTTTGTGAAGGTTTGGGACCTGAAAGTCATACCAAAGAGACATTGACATGGTTGTTTATTTAGAATATTTCGGATTATCCACTGATGGTACTGGAAAATAATGGTAAGCTAACTTAGAAGGAATAATTGTGTTTGTAGCAGTGAGAAGGCAGGGTTCTGAAGAGCAGTGGCTGACATTATCCAGGATGGCAGGACCTTTTTAGAGGGACTGATTTTTTTTTAGCTAAAGACCTAAAAAAATGAAATGCCTAAAAGAGAGGAAATAATTTAGGCATGGGTAATAGGAAATGGAATTAGAATAAGGAAAGCTGGTTTGGTAATGATAATTGAGAATACAGAATAAGAGAGCATCACAATAGAGTTAGTAAGAATGGAGTGAAATGCATGGAAGACAGTATCGTAGACTGAAGCCAGAGTTAGGTAATGTACCATTATTATGAGTCACGTTCAGTAGTTTAGACTTTAAAGTACTTGAAAGGTTTTTGGAAAGAAAGAACATGATCAAATTTGTGTTTTATCTGACTATTGTTGCTGCTGTGTGGGAAGAGAAAGGCTGGATGCCAAGAGATCAGTTAGAAGACTTAGACTATAGCCGAGAAAGAAGATAATTGAGTCCTAGGCTAGGATGAGAGAGTGGGAATGAAATAAGTAATTGGAGAAAGAGGCGAGAGGCAGAATCTACAAATTTGATGTCTGACTGGGTCAAGAAAGTTTGAGAAGAAAAATAAAATTCTACCAAAGCAGTAGTTTGAATAAGTAGATAGATAAGGACTCACTGGGGGGGGGGGGGGGGGGAGCAAAAGAGTGTTCTTACTAGTTTGAAAACTCATAGATAACTAATAAAAAAGAAATATTTAATGGGATAATGATGAAAAGACATTATGGACATGCTGAGTCTATGTTGATGAGGCATACAGAAGGAGATGAAAAAATACAAGATATAGATTCTATGTAAAGATGTAGGTCTAAATTTAAAACATAAATTGCTACTTGAAATATTGGCCAGAAAGAACATGTAGGTGACGTATTAAAATGAAATATTTTATAGGATGTTAGGCTTATTAATAGGTTAAAAAAAAAAGGACCTACATAAAGAGATGATAACCTTTCAGCACCTGTATTGCAAACCATAATGCCCAAAAGGTGCAGGGATGGAGAGGGAGGGATAGAGGGAGAGGGGAGAGAGAGATAGAGTGATGAAAGAGAGAGAGAAAAAGGATAGAGAGAAAGAAGAGAGAGGAGAGATTGAGGGGAGAAGTGCTTTCTATATAGGCAGACTGGGAGGCCGGGTGGATTTTTCAGGAGGAAAATGGAGAATATTGGTGGTGGGAAATGTACTCTGGTAAAGGGATGGGTGTTGCAACATTGTATGACCAAAACTCAACCATGAACAAGGTTGTAAATGTGTATTTCACAGAAATTTAAATAAAAAAATTAATTTTACCAAGGAGAAAAATTAAAAAAGGAAGATAGTAATACAGTGAGGAATGGCCAGAGTAATAGAAAGGAAAACAGAAAAATGCCCTCACTATAGTGGGTATTTTAAAAGGGTAGAGAGCAACAAATTCTGCCAAGGACCAGGGTCAATAAGAAAATAATTCTTAAAGTACATATTAGAGGGACTAGAGCAGGTACGGTGCTTGCCTTATACATGGTTGACCTTGGTTCTATCCCTAGAAACAACATATGGTCCCCTGAGCCAGACCAGAAATGATCCCTGAGTTTAGAGCCCGATGTAAACTCTGAGAACCACTGGAATGTGGCCCAACAAAACAAATAAACAACAAGTTCCTGGGATTTAGTAAGATAAAGGTCCTTAGTGACTGTTAAGAATTGTGGGAAAGGGGCTGGAGCAATAGCACAGCGGGTAGGGCATTTGCCTTGCACGCAGCCAACATGGCCGACACAGGTTCGATTCCCAGCATCCCATATGGTCCCCCGAGCACCGCCAGGAGCAATTCCTGAGTGCATGAGCCAGGAGTAACCCCTGAGCATCGCTGGGTGTGACCCAAAAGGCAAAAAAAAAAAAAAAAAGAATTGTGGGAAAAGCCAACTTGAAGCTGGGTGAGAACTAAGTAAAGTGAAGAAGAGGGCATGGCAAGTATAAACAACTTTTTTGAAAAAAAAGGCAGGTTTAAGGCAATAAATTAAAAGGGCACATGGGCCTTTATATAGGATTAATTTACATATAATGAGTATGTTTAAGTATAATAGAAAAGAGCCCCTAGAAATGGATCACTTGCATTTGGGACTAACTGGAGAAGAATGTTGTTGGATTATACTTCTAAGCATTTTAGGGTTAACATTGATTTGTTCTTTCTCCTCCCACAGGGAGCTTAGGTATATTGAGTTACACCCACCACAGTGCTCCCGAGGCACACCCAATTCCATCAGGGCACTCCCAATCCTCACTGTTTATCTTTAACCTCTCCATTGTGCTCTTCTTCCCCTATCTGTTATTCACAAATATCTCCAAATCAGACACTGTAACTTATAAAGTCAAATCATCTGATGGCTCTGAATTTTTGTATATGTAAGTAAAATATTGCTTTTTCTCTTTCCGTTATGTCCTTTGCATACTTTATTTTAGAGCAATATCCTTTTTGTATAAACACAAGAAGGTAGTAAATGGGAGTAAATTGACTCCAAATAATATTGACTCCTGAGCATCTGTCATATTGACTTGACCATTGTTCCTAACACTCTGAGTCCCGCTGAGGGACATGGATATTCCCAGGGCAAACCATAAGCTACCCTTACTTCAAGCAGGGAAAGCCTAAGCACCATAAGAAGTATGATAGATTAAGAGTATGGTCATGGAACAAACTTTGTCATGACCCTAAAAGAAGTAATTGAATAAGGACCCTGTTGGGGTTAGGAAAAGCTAAAGTGACTTGAGGACTGTAGTCTGGGATATATAGAGAGATGTCCCCAGGAATAGTCAGTCACCTTTTAAGCTTAATCTAGGGTATAGATAAAAACCTATATCTCTTACTGTGTTCATACAAAAATGACCAGAAATATTAAGAAGTAAATTTAATATGATTATTTAGATGGATTACCAGCAAAAGAAAGAAGAAAGCAATGTGGCCTTAGATGGAATTCCACCCTTGAGTGGATCTCCTAGTAGGAATCTAGAGTGCTGGAACCACTACATGAAATTCTGTCCTTTGGTGCATCTCCTAGAAGAATTTCCCCTGAAGAGGAGCTTTACATCTGTTCACTGTTTATGTTAATGTTCTACCAAACCTATGTGTAATTGCTGCTCCCTAACCCTTCATGATTATTCTAGAATAATGCTGAGAGATTTGAATAAAGGGCCACTAATTACCAGCCTGTGGCCCCATTCCTTTATCCTTAGGCCAGGGAGACGATCATCAGAGTACTCCAGTCAGCTCAGGATAGTGACCAAGACAAGGATGTTAAATAGATATGAAATACATACTGCCAACTACACTTGTCTATACTTTAACTTCTCACCTATGATTTCTTCCAGAATCATCTAACCATGCCAGAAAATAGAAGTTATAACTCAGATTTTTCTCTCTCACTCATCTTGTCCTTCCTTGGTATATTCTATCACACATAATAGATCTGCCTGTGATTTTACTGTTGTCCCTCACTTCACAATGCTTTTTAGTGGTTACTAATGAATAATTCACTGTCAGAGGTTCATGCTAAATAAATAGTATAACAACATCTTAAATGAAGTGAGGTCTAGCATACTACATAGGAAGAGGAAATATTTTCTTTTTTTTTTAAATTTAAACACTGTGGTTTACAAATTTGTTCATAGTACAGTTGTTACAGGCTTTTGCTATTCCAACACCAGCCCCACAGAGGAAAGGAATTTTCAAATCTATTTTTCCTTTCTACATTCTATTAAAATTCTAACCTATAAAGTTTGTTTAACTGGAGAGGTGGGTACACCTGATGGTTCTCAGGGCTTATTCCTGGCTCTGCACTCAAGGATCATTCCTAGCAGGGTTTGGGGGACCTTATGCAGTACTAGTGACCAAACCTAGGTTTAGCTACATGTAAAACAAGCACCCTATCCCATTCTACTGCCACTCTGGCCAGTAATTTCTGTTGTTTTTATGATAAAAACCAAAATGTTCATGCATACAATGTATTATAAAATATGACTATAATCTATAATCATATGTTAAATATCTATCTAAATATTTAGCAAATATTAGGTAATTTCTGCATGACAAAAATAACATTGCTAATTTGAACTCTTTTAGGTAGAGCAGATTGCCCATATTATGCTAAAGCAGAAATTTTGGCAGACTATTTACACAAGAATCTTCCTGATTTTCAGATACATAAAATCACACAACATCCTAATGTTTGGGAGGTAAGAAGCCCCTTCAGTTTGTTAAACTTACATATGTACAAAAATATGTTCTAATATGATTAGCTATTATATATACAGTAAGCTTTAAATAATTAATGTTTGTGTGCTACTGATATTTTAACACTAATTAAACAAATCCCTGCCTCTCAGTTTCAAAACATTATGTTTTTTCCAAATTCTTAGTAGAATAAATGAGGCCATAACTTGTAAGTAGAATACATTTGGCTGTTTTTCCCCCTAGAATCCAAGTAACATCTTACACTGTTTAATTTTTCATCATCCTTCTGTATTGATTTCCAATGGCATGAAACTCTTGTTTATTGAAACACTCTTCTCTGGATCTCTGTTTCCCCAGAAACAGATTGAGATGGGATTTGGGTCAAGGTGTTGCTTTTCTTAGGAGTGCCTGTGAGAACATCTTGAGAGGAATATGGGAGTAGGACTGGAAAATAGAAGAAGCTGAGCTGCAGCAGAGTTGCAGCAGAAGACTCAATTTCTCATACAGGAAATTCAAATTTATAGGGCCCTGTAGAAGTATCCCAAGTTAACAAGCAAAGAGACTGGACTTTTGTACCCAAAGCAAACAGTCACTGAATACAGACTACCCCAGACAAGTGGCTTGACTGTAGGCTAGAAAACTATCTTTGGTTGATATCTGCCTCTGGAGAAAACTGGGCCATCAGCAGCCGAGTGTACCTGGATCTTTGGTCATGAAGAACTATCCTGAAAATGTGTGTGACAGGAACTACTCAACACACCATTTACACTTTTTATATTTATATATCTCATGTAACAAGGATATCTCAGAACAGATCTCTGGTTGGCATTAATTAAATGAACTATAATTTCCACTGCTTTTAATTACAGGGTTATAACCAATATTAAACCTTTCTTTCCTATAATTCACTATGAAATTTCCTTAACTCTTTAAAAAATAAACTCTTTTCTTGTGTTACTGGAGTGGTGGTAAGCAGACTAATTCTTAATTCTACTCCCTTGTCTCCTAAATTTATGTATTCTACCTATTGTGGTAAAATATTACATTAATTTGTGGTGTATATTACATCCTGAAAAGCTGGTGCCCCATCCTTGCAAAATATCAACTCCAAACTGGTGTCTTCATCTTTACCGCTTTTCCATTCCTCTGTCAAACTTCAAAGTGGTATAATATATGACAGGGCTAGTAGATCCCATGGTTATATGCCCAGTGCCTCATTATCCTTTACTCTAAATTGGTTCCATTGGTTCAGAGTGAGTTAATGCAAAACAATATGCTGGTAGATTAAAATTGTTTTAACAATCCTCTATATTAACAGGGTTCTGGCCAAAAATCCTGACAATAGGAAAGGCAATTATCTATAAATTTAATAGAATAAAAATAATTTTATTTAAACTTTCTGGGGTGGAAATGATGAAATATAACTTTCCCTCAAAAGATTGGTTGGTAAGGACAGTAGACACAAGGACAAGGAATATTGCCCAATAGTTGGAATCCTGCCTCATGAGCTGGGGAAGAAGGCAGCTAGAATAGAGAAGGAATCACTAAGTCATTGATGATTGAATTGTTCGGGATGGGAAATGTGTGCTGAAAGTAGATAAGGAACCAAATGTGATAGCCTCTCAGTATCTATATTGCAAACTATAATGCCCAAAAGTAGACAGAGAGTATGGGGAAAATTATCTTTCATAGATGTAGGGCTGGAGCTATAGCACAGCGGGTAGGACGTTTGCCCTGCATGCGGCCAACCCAGGTTTGATTCCGCTGTCCCTCTCAGAGAGCCCAGCAAGCTACCGAGAGTATCCCGCCCGCATGACAGAGCCTGGCGAGCTCTCCATGGTGTATTTGATATGCCAAAAACAGTGACAACGTGTCTCACAATGGAGACATTACTGGTGCCCGCTCGAGCAAACCGATGAACAACAGGAGGACAGTGCCACAGTGCTGCAGATGTAGGCAGAGGGTTGGAAAGGAGAGGGGGGAATACTGGGGACATTGGTGGTGTAAAATGTTCACTGGTGGAAAGATGGGTGTTTGATCATTGTATAGCTGAAACTCAAACATGAAAGTTTTGTAACTGTTTCTCATGGTGATTCAATAAAAAAAAAAGACTGGTTGGTGTCTTCAAAGGATAGTGCTCATGTTTGAGGGTTAACATTGGTGTCTCCTGTTTGTCACACTAGACATCTCATAGCAGCAATGACAAAATCAGCTCTGGTGAGTGAAGGCACAGCATCCCATTATGGATCTGCTGGGCTTTGTGATAGTGTTTTCACATGGATGGGGGCACTACTCCTGGGTCTTTTTTAATCTCAGGATTCTGCCTTCCTCATTGCCAGGGAGTTCTTTTAGAAGTATCATGTCCTTTAACATCACTAGTCTAGGATAGATACCCTGGGTTCTCTGTTATTCTGCAACTCCTCACCAGGGCATGCCTTGTGACTTTGTTGATACTGTTGTAACTTCCAGGATTTTCCAGAAAACATGGTTGGTTGATACATTTTTCAATCTTCCATAACCATATATCTGCTACAGCATGCCCATTTCTATTTTTTTTAAAATCTTTTCTTCAATTTCCTTTCATGCAGATCAGACACTCCTGTTTCATTTCTTGTGAGCAGTAACTTTCTCCAAGATTCTGAAGGCCATTTAAACCACATATGCCTATTCTCCCCACTCCTGCCATGACACCAGTATGCCTGCTTGGGGCTAAAGATCTTGGCTGGTTTTTTGTTTGAGAGTTTTTGTTTTGTTTTGTGGGCATCTCCGCAAAACCATCATTTGGGTCATGCCCAGTAGAGTATTCAGGAGCTACTCCCGTCTCTTGCTCAGGAGTTCACTTCTGGCAGTGCTAGGGGGACTAGCAGGGGAGATCAAACCAGGATTAGCCACATTCAAGGCTAATGCTTTAAGGACTCCACTATATCTCTGGTCCCTGATGGTTTGGGGGGCAGCGAGTAGAGTCTTGCCCCTTCATTGGCCAAGCACTTCGCCAATATCCTTCTGAAATCCTCACAGTAGCAATGTTTCCTTTAAGATGGGATACAGATAGATCTTTAACATCAAGGGAAATTAGTTTCTAAGATTTTGTTTGTTAGATGTTTCATTACACATGCCTCCAAAGAATGTTCCCATGTACTTTATTCATGAGAATGCTGCTGTCTGTTTCTACTCATTGGATAACTTGAACTGTTTATACCAGATGATGACTTAATCTTTAAAAAATGAGGATATTTTTTGTTTTCAGAAGAAGCAAAAAAATATGAAGTGTAAAAAACAGAGCCTTTTCAGCAAGTGGTGTTGAGAAAACTGGTCAGCCATTGCAGGGAAAAATGAACTCAGATGTCTTTCTAACACCATGCACAGGATGCCAAATAAAAATGGATTAAAGTTCTAGATATCAGACTTCAATTCATAAGGTTCATAGAGGAAAATATAGGCAGAACTCTCCATGACATTGAAGCTAGAGGCATCTTTAAGGATGAAATGCCACTAACCAAGCAACTAAAGCAGAGATAAACAAATACGATATTAAACAAGAAGTTTCTGCATATCAAAGGAAATGATGACCTGAATACAAAGACAGCCCATAAACTGGGAGACATTTGCTCACCACTCATCTGACAAAGGATTTTTTTTTATAAATGAAAATTTTAATCAGGAAATTAAATATATATTACTAGTGTTTTTGAACATTTAGGGCTGGAGCGATAGCACAGCGGGTAGGGCGTCTGCCTTGCACGCAGCCAACATGGCCGACCAGAGTTCGATTCCTCCGCCCCTCTCGGAGAGCCCGGCAAGCTACCGAGAGTATTCGATATGCCAGACACAGTAACAACAAAGTCTCCAATGGAGACATTACTGGGCCCGCTCGAGCAAATCGATGATCAACAGGAGGGCCTTTACTTTACTTTTACTTTACTTTCAACATTTACTATAAGAGAGCACCAAATAGAGGGTGTTGTGAGGACCCTCCCAGGGTGGGAGAAGCATGCTAAAAGTAGTCTATAGACCAAACATGATTGCCACTCAATGCCTCTCTTGCAAAACACAGTACGCAAAAGAAGAGAGAGAGAATAATGGGGAATGCCCTGCCACAGAGGCAGTGTTGGGGGGGTGTCTGGGGGGTCGGAAGGATACTGGGACCCGTGGTGGTGGAGGATGGGCACTGGTGGAGGGATGGGTACTTGATCATTGTATAACTGAAACTCAAGCACAAAAATTTATATGTCTATAACTGTACCTCATGGTGTTTTACTAATAAAAAATAAATAAAATAAAATAAAAATAAAATTTAAAAAATACATCAAAAAAAGGAAAAATTAAAAAAAAATAGTACATGACCTCTTACATCTGACAAAGGATTAATATACAAAATATATAAAGCAGTGGTGGAACTCTACAAGAGAAAAATTCAATATGCAACACATCAAAAAACGAGAGGTGCATATACATTTATTATTGTAAGTTCTTCCTGTTGTACAGATCCTTTGATCACTAAGAAATGGCCTTCACTGTCTCTTATGACCTTCTTCACTCTGAAATCGATGTGGTCTGATATTAAGGTGGCTACCCCAGCTTTTTTATGGGAGCTGTTTGCCTGTAGGATTGTTTTCCAGCCTTTGACTCTGAGTCTGTGTTTGCTTTGACTGTTAAGGTGTGTTTCTTGCAGGCAGCAGAATGTTGTGTTCAATTTTCTAATCCATCCAGCCACTCTGTGTCTTTTAATTGGTGCGTTTAACCCATTGACATTGAGAGAGATTACTGTTATGGGATTTTGTCCCATTGTTCTGTTGAAATTAGGTGTATTTGAGGGGCCTGTCCTGTCTTAAAGTAGCCCATTTAGTTGTACTTGTTGCTTCTGCACCTCCAAAGAAACAGTGACCAAAATACAAAGACAGTCTACAGAATGGGAAAGGATATTCACCGAATACACATCTGACAAGGGGTTGATAACAAGGATATACAAAATACTGGTGGAACTCCACAAGAAGAAAACATCCAACCCCATCAAAAAATGGGGCAATGAAATGAACAGAAACTTTCTCAAAGAAGAAATCCGAATGGCAAAAAAGCACATGAGAAAATGCTCTACATCATTAATCATCAGGGAGATGCAGATCAAAACCACAATGAGATACCATCTCACACCTCAGAGACTGGCCCACATTCAAAAGAACAAAAGCAACCGATGCTGGCGCGGATATGGCGAGAAAGGGACACTCCTTCACTGTTGGTGGGAATGTCCACTGGTTCAGCCCTTTTGGAAAACAGTATGGACGGTTCTCAAAAAATTAGAAATTGAGCTTCCATTTGACCCAGCGATACCACTCCTGGGAATATACCCCAGAGAGGCAAAAATGTGTAGTCGAAGTGACATCTGCACTTGTTTGTTCATTGCAGCACTCTTTACAATAGCCAGAAACTGGAAGAAACCTGAATGCCCAAGAACAGATGACTGGTTAAAGAAACTCTGGTACATCTACACAATGGAGTACTATGTAGCTCTTAGAAAAGATGAAGTCATGAAATTTACATACAAGTGGTACAATATGGAAAGTATCATGCTAAGCGAAATGAGTCAGAAAGAGAGGGATAGACATAGAAAAATTGCATTCATCTAGGGGATATAAAGCAACAAAATATGAGATCAATACCTAAGAATAGCTGAGATCAACACCAGGAGGATTACTCCATAACTTAGAGGCCAGCCGGATATTCTAGGGGAAAGGGCAGTTCAGATAGAGAAGGGAACACCAAATGAAAGGTGTTTGGAGGATCCTCCCAGGAGGGGAAATGCATGTTGAATGTAGACTATGGACTGAACATGATTGCCACTCAATGCCTCTTTTGCAGACCACAACACCCAAAAGGAGAGAGAGAACAAAGGGGAATGCCCTGCCGCAGAGGCAGGGTGGGAGGGAGGGTGGGGGGAAATGGGCACTGGTGGAGGGATGGGTATTTGATCATTGTATGACCGAAACTCAGGCACAAAGATTTGTAAATCTACAACTGTACCTCATGGTGCTTCACTAATAAAAAAAAAAAAAACGAGAGAAGAGATAAGCAGAAACTTCTACAAAGAAGAATTACAAATGGCCATAAAGAATATGAAAAAAAAAATGTTCTATAGGGGCTGGAGCGGTAGCACAACGAGTAGGGCATCTGCCTGCCATGCAGCCCACGCGGCTGACCCAAATTTGATTCCTCTGCCCCTCTCAGAGAGCCCAGCAAGCTACCGAGCTACCGACAGTATCTCGCTGCACAGCAAAGCCTGGCAAGCTACCAATGATGTATTTGATAAGCCAAACACAGTAACAACAAGGCTCACGATGGAGACGTTACTGGGTCCGCTCGAACAAATCTATGAACAACAGGAGGACAGTGCAGTGCAGTGCAACATTTGGGCTGGAGTAATAGCAGCAGTTCTACTCCTGAGAATATACCCCAATGATCCAAAAGCACAAATCAGAAAAGATATATACTCTCCTATATTTTTATTGCAGCACTGAATGCAATAGCCATAATATGGAAACAACCCAAATACCCATGAACAGATGACTGGATAAAGAAACTATAGTACATATATTCAATAAATACTATGCAGCCTAAGAAAAGATAAAACGATGCAATGTGGATGGACCTGGACAGTATTATTTGTTGAATATTGTTGAGTGAAATTAGTCAGAGGGAGAGGAACAGACTCAATTTTCTCTCTCATGTGGGATATACAGAAATCTCATAGAGGAATATCAAATGCCCAGTGGCAATAAAAACAAAGAGCAGAAGAACTGATCTACAGTAGAAAAATTGGCACTGGGATAGGGATGAGGGGGATAAGTTAGGGAAGGAAGTACTAGGACAATGGGGGAGGAGAAAAGTGCCTGCCACAGAGGCATGCTGGGAAGTGGAAGGGAAAGTGGGGACATTAGTGGAGAGGAATGGAAATTGGTGAAGGGGTTGGTTTTTGAACAACATATACCTAAAACACAAACATGAATATTTTTGTAACTTTGTAATTCATGGTGATTCAAATAAAAAATATATATTATTACTTTAAAAAAAAGTCTTCAGATAAGTTTTAGCTCATTCATTTGGGAGCTTGTTTGGAGGTCCTAATAGGAGAGTGCAGGTATTCATTCGGGGGAAAGTCAACCTCTTCAATAGTTCACACAGTTCCCAGAGCAGTGAAGGAGGAAGGAGACATTGGCCTAGCCAGCCCAATCAGCTAAATCAACCCTGGCAATCAATGGTGTGACAGATGTCGCAGCCTGATCACCCTCATATCCTAACTCATTAATTTGGAATGGAACTATATTCTGAAACCATACTTACATATTTGGAAGCATTATCAGATGTAAATTGCCCTAGAACTATAAATATTATCAAGAAGAGTGGGGGAATATAGTAGGTTGAATTTTGGGGAAATAATGGAATACTTGACTTTTCTATAAGCTAAACACTTGCACATTATTTATCAGCAAGAGAGAGACTTACATTGCCTTTATATGGTCGAGAATGAAGAGTCTACCTTATTTGATTAATTTGTTGCTTAACTCATCTCCGTTTTACCTGTTTTACAGTTCAATGACATCCAAATTGACTTAGTATACACAGTCGGAATAAAATACAAGCTAACGTTTTTTGTGTTGAATTCTAAGGTATTGAATAGAATTCTGATAGAGATTTAGTAGATGGCTTCACTTGGAATATATTTCAATAGGAATGGCTGAAAGATTTGTGCGAAAAGAATAATTGGAATCACAAAGATTCACCCATAATCTGGAGAGAGCTTTTGGATCGTGGAGGAAAGGGTTTTCTTCTGGGAGGATATAATGAGTTCCTAGAACATGCCCAGGTATTTACACTGATTTATCTGTGTAAAACATTGTCATTTTCTTACATTATTTTAGCTTTTAAATTACTTGTTTTCTACAATATTCCATTGGTTCTTTTTTTTTTTACTCAACTCTGGATTGAAATACAACTTTCCTTACAGCCATTTCAATAAGTTATCTTTTCTTTTCTTTTTTACTTTTTATTTCCTAATATTTAGCTTTACTATGGTGTCACCTCTAGCATGAGATCAGAATTAATGAAGATAATTGCTGAAGAGAACCTGAAGACACATATTGAAAAAGAGCTGGAGGAAAAAGCTCCAAAAATTCTCACCAAGTCCTTGCATGTTTGGATTACCAGGTAGGACAGTCTCAGTCTAGCACCAAGCTATATACATTTTCATGTTTTTTATATTTATTTTAAAATTATTATTGTTTATATTATTGCCATACTGTTAAATTTTACAGCATTTGTACAAAATTATTGTACCCATCACCCCAAAGTACCCATGACCCTTCTCCAGTGTTCCTATGCCACCTCTAGTCTTTGAAAGGATAATGATGTTTAAAAGATAATGATGTTTAAAGGATAATGATGGTGAAAGAGTACCTCAATGTCTTCTCTTTGATTTACTTTGTTTTTTTAAGGCTATACCCAGTGATATTTGGGGCTTACTCCTTCCTCTGATGTCAACCCACTCATTCTGTTTGTCTCTTATGCCATGTTCTGCCTTGTTCTCTTGTTCAACTTTGCCATCTCTTGCCTTTTCTTCTCTTTTCTTTTCACTCGATCTCTGCCCACTTGCTAGCATGGTCTTCACTCTTCTTTACATACTCATTATCTGCAACATTACCTCCCACCCTCCTTCCTTGCTCATGTTTTTGTAACTTTCTTGTTTTTGCTTCTCATTGCCTCATACTTGGACACCAGCCATCTGTGTTGTCACTAGTTCCTCTCTTCTTGTCTCTTTACATACTTTTTGGTGTCACTGCCTGTCTTCCTCCAGTTGGCCCTTTCTTCTCACATGTCTATGTGTTATAACATAGATACTTCTTAGAAAATATATTTGCTATTTTAAAATAGTTCAGATACAAAAATCGAGAATGATGGTGCAGGAGCAATAGCTCAAATTTCTGAAGCACATGCTTGCCTGCAGGCACCTGGGTCTATTCCTGTCACCATATGGTCTCGCAAGCATTGCTGGGAATAATCCCTTCCCTAGCACCACTGGATGTAGGCCAAAACAGAGATAGAAAGAATTGAGAATGATGTAATTATCATATATATGAGACATACTAATATTTAATAAATATTGCATCATATTCAAATGTTTTAAAAACTAAAATGATGTCATACTGAAACTCCTTCTGTACCCCTTCTTAAACTCATTATGGAAATTAGAAACATACAAATGCAAGTTTGTACTGACTTTAGAGATCATTACAACCGTAGTAATGACCTAAACAAGTTTGCTGTTACTAAACTTGTGTTTCGATGTTTGATACTCACCTATGACCATTCTCAGCTGCTTTTGTAAGGACTGGAGAAGACAGTCCCTTTGTAGATAAGGGAATGAAATGAAGAGATGTGGTTAAATGGAATTTGTTTCTGTTTTAAGAGAAAATGAAAGTATGCCAAATAATGTGAAACTATTCTTTTAAATTATTCTTTTGTATATTTTTTTCTTATTTGAAAGTCCTTATAATCTCTGGCAGAGATTGTTTTCAGATGACCAAAGGAAGGAAGAGGTGGTAATGAGAATGTCTTTGTTCTACTTTTCATTGTTGGATTTAAATGTGTCTATAGAGCTGTATCTGCCCATTTCCGATATTTAATCTTAACAATACACCTGCAGAAATCCCTCATAGGAATAAAGGTGTAAAGTGTGAGGGTGGGGAGAGATTTAACCGTTTGTAATCCAGTTCTGCCTTTTCATTAGTGCTTCAACTCCAGTTTGCTGCAACCTCATTCCCATCCTAATAAGTGGTGAAGTGTTTGGAATGCAGACAGAAATTAGCATAACATTGTTTGACAAAAAGCACACAGAAGAAAACCTCAAACTCCTTATGGCAGAAGCTCAGAACTTGGTGTCGCCCCTCCTCCAGAGCATCTCCATTTGCACGCGGGTGGAGGATGCCTTCCGCGAGGCGCACGTGGTCATCATTCTGGATGACAGCACCGACAAGGAGATGGCAACTTTAGAAGACTACATACGAAGCAAGCTGATTCTGTGCCGACTCTACGGATACCTGATTGAGAAAAACGCCCATGATTCTGTGAGAGTTATTGTCGGAGGAAAAACCTATGTGAACCTAAGGGCAGTTTTGCTTATGAGATACGCCCCAAGCATCGTTCACAACATTATTGCGGTGGCCTTGGGGGTGGAAGGCAAAGCCAAATCTCTGCTAGCCAAAAAACTGAAAACTGCTCCCTCCTGTAAGTAAATGAACTTTCCTTGGTTGATTTTTTTTTTTTTTGAAACCTCATGGTCTCAAAGCCGCTTGGAAGGATGCTGAACCCTACAGAAACTTTCTGGCTAAAATTGTTAAGGTGGTTGATTTTTTTTTTAAGGAAGCAACAACATAACACCACCCCTGAGTTATAAAGTGGCTCTCCCCCACATCCCTCCCGTGTGACCTTGGACAACCACTTAGCTTTGGTCACCTCATCTGTAAAATGGATATATTGATATTTTATGTTCTCCATATTAGAATGGAGTTGAGGATTTAATGAGATCAGATTTCTAAAGTGCTTAAAGAGTCCCTGACATGTGGCAAACATTTACAGTGACATTAAATGTGCCAGTAAGATTAGGATAATCTGGATCAGTTTCTACTCTTATTGGTTCTTTAAGTGATAGACCTCAGAACCATAGGAGGATAAAATTGGATTAGAAGGATGGGATCTGAGAGGAGAGATAGCACCGTGAGTAAGGAGCTTACCTTGTAGGTGGATTATCCAGGTTGGATCCCTTAGCAATACATATGGTCTCTTAGCACTGCCAGGAATAATCGCTGAGCACCCTTGGGTATGTCCCCCAACCAAAAATAAATTTTTTAATGAAAGAATAAATGGATTCTATTTTAATGGAAACTTTTAAAAATGGTTCTATCTTAAAAGAAACTTTTTAATGGTCATATTTTAAAAGAGAATGTTATCTTTAAAAATAGTTTTCATATTTGTACCTTAGCTTAGATGTAGTCCATTGTGGATACAAAGGATCACAAAATAGTCTCTCCATCCACTTTATGAATTCTTTTTTTTATGTAGGAGTACTGCTATTCAGTCACTGATTAGCTGATTGAATTGGGCATGAACTCCACCTTTTTTTTTTCATTTTTTATCATTTTATTTATTGAATCACCATGAGAGCAGTTACAAAGCTTTCGGGTCTAAGTCTCAGTCATACAATGAAACACCCATACCTTCACCAGTGCCCATTCTCCACCCCCAACAACCCCAGTATACCCCCATCCCAAACCTTCACCCTACCTGTGGGGCATACGATTTCCACATTACTCTCTCACTACTTTGAGTACATTCAATATTTTGACACCAGATCCACCATTATTATTTGAGATTTTACCCCAACACTCAGATCTACCAAAAAGGCAACCGTAGACAATTTGTTTTCTACTGCTGGTTATGAATAACATATGATATCATGTGGCTGCAGTAGTGGCTGCACAATTTTGAAAGTCCGAAATTTTAACACTTAAATCTGGAGGGATTTCTGCCAAAACCTGCTGGATTCTGAGATTTGTTCCTGAGTTTCTGGGATCATGGCCGTTAAGCAGCTTGATCAGGAGCCAGAAAGGCCATTTGTGGGCGATGACTTGGGGTCTCGTTGGGGTGGGGAGGAAAAGGCTAGCTCAACCCCCATCCTGTGAGGCCCCACGTGTCTCATCACTGAGGGCTCAAATCTGACTGTTCAGTGGCCTCTGGAGGATGTTGGCCACCAAGCCGCCTAAGGGGAGCAGGCGGAGGCACAACACCCTTTCCCTCACAGGGTGGCCGGGCGACAGTAACCTACTGTGGGGTGGGTTTCTCCCAAAAGCCACTGGGTTCTGAGATTTGTTCCTGAGTCTCTTGGATCATGGCCATTAAGTAGCTTGATCAGGAGCCAGAGAGGGTGTTCGTGGGCAATGACTTAGGGTCTCAGGATGGGGAGGAAAGGACCGGCTCCACCCCCATCCCATGAGGCCTAACAAGTCTCGTCACTGCAGGTCCAAACCTGACTGTCCAATGGCCTCTGGAGGATGGCGGCCACCGAGCCACCAAGAGGGAGCAGGCAGAGGGATAACACTCTTTCCCCGCTGGAGTTGCCCGGCAACAGTAACCTACTGTGGGGTCCGGACGCATTTCTGCCAGAAGCCACTGGGTTTCGAGATTTGTTTCTGAGTCTTTGGGATAATGGCCATTAAGCAGCTTGATCAGGAGCCATAGAGGCCATTCGTGAGTGGCAACATGGGTTCTCGTCATTGGGGTGGGATGGAAAGGACAGGCTCCACCCCCATCCCGTGAGGCCCCATGTGTCTCATCACTGCGGGCCCAGAATGTCCAGAGGCCTCTGGAGGATGGTGGCCACTGGGTCACCAAGGGGAACAGGCCGAGGCACGAAACCTATTCCCACCTGGGTTGGCCCAGTGCCGGTAACCCACTGCAGGGACTGGACACATTTCTGCCAAAAGCTGCTGGGTTCCGTTATTTGTTTCTGAGTCTCTGGGATCATGGCCATTAAGTGGCTTGATCAGGAGCCAGAAAGGCTGTTCATTGGTGGTGACTCGGGGTCTCATTGGGGTGGAAGGGAAAGGGCCGGCTCCACACCCATCCCGTGAGGCCATACGTGTCTCATCACTGCAGGCCCAAACCTGACTGTCCAATGGCCTCTGACGGATGGTGGCCACCAAGCTGCCAAGGGGGAGCAGGAGGAGGGACAGCACCCTTTCCCCCCTGGAATGGTCTGGTGACAGTAACCTACTGCCAGGTCTGGACGCATTTCTGCCAAAAGCCACTGAGTTTCAAGATTAGTTTCTGAGACTCTGGGATTATGGTTTTTAAGCAGCTTGATCAGGAACCAGAAAGGCTGTTTGTTGGCGGCAACTTGGGATCTCGTTGGGGTGGTGAAGAAAGGGCCGGCTCCACCCCCATCCCATGAGGCCCCACATGTCTCATCACTGAGGGTCCAAACCTGACTATATAGTGGCCTCTGGAGGATGGCGGCCACTGTGCTGCCATGGGGAACAGGCCAAGGCACAAAACCTATTCCCACCTGGGGTGGCCCAGTGCCGGTAACCTACTGCAGGGACCAGATGCATTTCTGCCAAAAGCCGCTGGGTTTGAAGATTTGTTTCTGAGTCTCTGGGATCATTGCCATTAGCAGTTTGATCAGGAACCAGAGAGGCCATGCCTCCAATTATATAGCTGAGCCGGAGGTGGTTTGTGGGTGTGTCTCCTACATACCTCACTTTTGGCCATTTACTTTCTTGGTAAACTTTGCCCCAAGTTTTTGGGGTCTGGCCAAAGGCACATCAGCAATTTTGGGGTATCTGGAAGCCTGAAGGCACCATCAGGCTGCTGATGCACTCACCTCACAGGTACAGATTGACCTGCTGGTGGCACCATACCCCCTATGAATTCTTTAATTGTGTGTCAGAGTGTGTTCTATCCCTGAAAACATTCCATGTGCACTAGATAAGAATGTTGCCAGACCGGTGTGGGGAAGTGGCTCTTGGCCACCAATCACATGTAGCGGGGAAAGAGAGCACACTCCTTATCGCTTGCTCATGTATTTTACACATATACACATATCTATTTTCAAATTTAAGTCTCATAAATCTAGGGTTCAGTCTCTGAGTCCCATTATATATTCTACATCTTCCCATTATTTAATGGAATTTCATGACTTTTTATAGGAGACAATTCCATATTATTTGTTGAGCTACTATAACGGCAACAAATGTCTTCTGCCAACGTTTGTCTGAAAATATTTTTTTAGTGGGGAGGAGCCCCCCAACCAGTATTTAGGAGGACCCAGCAGTCTTTCCTGGTGTTACTCAGTCAACAAGTTCAAGCTGTTCAGTGCTAGGCTCCAGAGTATGGCGCTGCCCAGACCCTATAGTGCCAGAGACCACTGGTCCTATCTCTGCAGTGCTCCAGGACTACAACTGGTGATGGTTGGGGGCCTCCAGGGCTACATCCAGGAATACTTTGGAAGCCGTATGTTGTTTGGGATCACAAGGGTCACCTTGAATGTGACCTAAAGCCTATACTATCTTCCAATCCATGAGAATGTTTTTATGATTTCCTCAAATATGAGTGATATTTTTCAGCATGGAAGGTTCATGGTTGTAAATTCTTTACATTCAGTACTTTGAATATATCATTCCATCCCTTCTTCCTGCTGGCTCATAGAGCTATATTTGAGAAATCCAATGTAAGTTTTATGGGTTTTCCTTATTCTGAGTCTTTATTTTTCTCTTGCTGCCTAAAGGAGCCTCTGTCTCTTTAATTATTAACATTTTAATCACAATGTGTCTTGATGTTCTGTTTGGGTTTATTTTGTTGGGTCTTTTTGTTCAGTGTATGTCTCCACCCTGAAGATGAGCGAAGGTTTCAGCTATTACTTCTTCACCATTCTACCCCCTTTTTCCTTCTTTTCCTTGTGGAATCCATATGTTGTGGACATTGTTGCTCTTGATATTAAAAACACATTTAAAAAAATTCTCTTCATGTTTTTGAAATCTCTTTTTTATTACCTCTCTATCAGCAATGCTGTACATCTTATATTCAAGATCACTGAATCAATTTTCACCATTTTGTATTCTGCAACTGAGTCCTGCTAATGTATGCCATAGTTTTTTTCTGATCAAATGAATTCTCTTTTTTTTTCTGCTAGTCTTTCTTCAAATTTATTGATTCTGTTTTCCAATGATTTCCTCAGTTCAGTAAATATTGAGGTGATTGTTGCTTTACATCATCCTCAGGCACTTAGAAAGTTCTGATTTAGTTGAGGACCATGCTGGGCTTTTTGTTACTGCAGCTGAATATCTTGTTTTTATTCATTTTTTTCTGGTTATTAATTGGGAACTGAGGATGCAGCTCAGAGTTTGGACTGGCCCAAGCAGCAGTCTGCTATTTCTATTTGCAAGATCATTTTAGTGCTTGTGATTCTACTGATTTCTTTTCTACTTTTCAAGGCAGCAAAGAATGCCTTGAAAAGTACCCCAATCCTTACCCCCAGGGTATCTTTCCTAATGGAGCTTGTTTCTGGCAAAGGAAATTTTTGACTCAAAAAACTAAACCATTTAACATCTATGCCTTTAAGACAGTCACGGTCATGGTCACGGTCCTCCCATTATTTATCGATTTGCTCAAGCGGGCCCAGTAATGTCTCCATCTAATAACACTTAAAAATATTTCAGATGGCATCATTA